CAATTTCAGGACAAAAAAAAGGCAATATTCGGCAGATTTCAGACCTGTACGGTTTAACAGTCCTAACCTACCAGCCTTCCAGAATGTCTAAGAACATTAATCAGCAGGAGAGATCCTTAACACTTATAATCAAGCCAAATAATTGAGATAACAGGTCATCCTTGACCTACAGTCGCCTTAACACAGGAACAGAATCACACGATCCCAAAAAACAGAGGTATAAAGATCTGACAGCATTCAGAAGCCCAGATTCATTTGGTTTTTTCACTTGGTACACGACCAAGGAGGGCAAGGAAGAGAAAAAAGGAAGGATTGTACCAGTTGTAGATCTGTTTTCCTCAGTCCAGATTCAGATCTCTGTTCCGCCCAGATTCAGCAAGTTGGAAGAGTGAAGTCTGTTCGATCTGTTCTCTCAGTGAAGTTTGTTCGATCTGTTCTCTCAGTCAGTATTCCTGCTCTGATACCATCTTGACAGTGTGGCCGGCCAGAAATAAGAGGAAGAGAAGAAAAGAGAAGAAGAAGAGAGAAGGGAGAAGAGAAGAGAAGGGATTGACAATGTAACAGTGCTTGCTGGCGGCGCCAGCTTTTATTATAATATATATAGGGCGGCATAAATAAGAAGGGAAAAGACCCTTGTGCCGCTGCTATAAGTGAGTACAATAATAGACATAACAGAAGTAAAAAAAATAGAAATAAAAAAACGCTTTAACTAGCCAAACAGACCCTAACACCAACAACTAAATTATTTCAACAGTTTCATTATATAATTATCAATTTATTTTAGTGTTCTGCTGATGTAATGATCACCTGGTAATCCATTTAGAAGACTCCATGCAAAACAGCCTTAATAAAGGGCTGTGAATTTCTAAAAGGCAATAAGATCTAAATCCAACTTCTGCTCTATGTCACAAATTCAACTGGATACCACATCAGTGACCTGGTCATGTAAATATTTTGAGGAATTTGGTGCATTAAATAGAAATTAATTGATGTGTTGACTTCTTGAAAACATGATTCAGTGAGAAATTGGTCTTAATGTTCACCAATTCTTTCTCCAAATTATTGTCTTATAATCCATGACATTTATATCATATATGTCAGGTAAAATAAATTATATACAGAGCTTCCCTAACTAAAAGTTATGGAAACATTGCAAAATCTAGTTTATATTATCAGACACATCCAGCATTGATCAACTTTTAAAATACTTGGAAATAACAAAATAGCTATTAGAGAAGAGTTTAAATGAAGGTGTACAGGATGAAAATACCATCACGTTTTAGTTGCTCTGATAATTGCTCGCCAAACACACTATCAGTAACATGTATAGAAGATAAAAGCGCCCTTATTCTTTCTTCATTCCCAAGCCAGTGTCCAATTATCATAATCATCTCTTGTGACAAGCTAATCTCTGCCACCGAAACATTTTCTGGTGTTATGGAGTCAATTGCTCCAATGCAGACTTCAAGGTCACTCAATATGCTTCTTGAATGGCATTGAACCTCAAAAAGCTTATCTTGAATTCTTCGGCACAGTTTCTCCAACTCTGTAGAACTGACCTCAGTAGGCTTCACCTAAATGAATGAACAGTGTTTTTTTTTCTTGAGAAGGAAAATGTATAGTGTATGAACATTATATCTAAACATAACTTATCAAAAAAAAAAAAAACACTATCAAAACACATGAACAAAATAATAGTATGACCAGAGTCATTTAATACCTCTAGCTCAAGATGATTCCCAAAACGTGTTTTCAGATGCTGGGGACTTCCAATGCATCGAAGCCTACCGCCAACCTTCAAGTTTCATAATGAGAGAATGACCTTGTCAATATTTAATACCCTTGATCTAGGCTTATGCATATCAATGTAATGCCATACCATTATTCCAATCCGCGTACACAAGGCCTGAGCTTCATTCATACTATGAGTAGTCAGAATAACTGCTGTCTTCCCCAGTCTGGTTGAAAGGCGGGATATCACTTCCCACATAAATCGTTTGGCTATGGGATCCATACCTATAGTTTATGAGTAACAGTAGAGAAACAATGTTCAACTCCTCAATAGAGAATGATTTCATCATGTGAAGAAGGAAAACTTATGCCTAATTGCTTATTGCCATAATAACTCAACATGCTAAGTGTTAGTGTGTTACTGTTCAGTTTTCTGCAACTTATATATGCAAGCAGGATTTTCATTTATATCAAGCCAAATTTTTGTAGTTCAATAAAGTGAAATTAACAGATGGCCTAAAATTGATCATAGCAGTCCATTTGAGATTCTAAAAACCCGACTCTGAGAATTGGTTTCATTAACATGTTTACTGATCTTGGTATTCCAACAGTATAATGTTCCAATAGCACCACGCCTTTGAATGGTAGAAACTACTAACTCAAGCATTTTTTTTTTATGAACAATGAGAAGTTTTATTAATAGAATTATAAGAGGTACACACAGAAGGTTCCCAAAAAGAGGCGAGAGATGCAGCCTCAGATCAAAACAAAGAATTACAGCTTAGCCCAAAACATCTGATTCCTATGCACCCCTTGTTTAGCTAGTGAGTCTGCTAACCCATTTGCAGATCTTTCCCATTGGAAATGGACAGACATGTTTGTAGTTAACCATCAGAATCTTCGTAAAACCCCCCAATAGGACCAGGCTACTGTTTCTGGCTCTTTTAACCATTGGATCACCAGCTTGGAATCATCTTCAATTAAGAGCTGTTCACAATTCAGCTCCTTGCAACACTGCTTGACTTTCTGCATTAACTGAATCCCCTACTCCTATAGGGCCAGAAAATAGAGCGATAATTAACCCCTCTGCATTTCTAAACACTCCCCCAATACCGGAGGTTCCTGGATTGCCTAGGCTGCTACCATCAAAGTTGAGCTTAATGATACCTTCTTCAGGAGATTTCCATTCTACAAGCGGCTTACCATCAAAGTTGAGCTCCCCAAATTCTCAATAAGTCATCAAAGGACAATGGAGACAAGAGTTCCAAAGTCTGCACCCAGTTGATGGCTCTATTAAGAAAGCATTCCCAAACATTGACCTCATTCCTTTCCTTCTCATAAAAAATTCTGGAATTTCTTTCCTCCCAGACAGTCCAAACCAGTGCAGCTCTAACACACCTCCACACTACTCTACCTCTTTTCTTAGGCCACCTGAGGGTTGTAGGTTCAAATAGATTACTAATTTGCATTGACATTGTCCACCTGCACCCAAAAAGACTAAATATCTTTTCCAGAGATCTGCAACAAAAGGACAGGATATTATTAGATGGTAGCAACTTTCTCCATTTGCTTTGCAGAGGACACACCAATTGGGGGATATTTGTAGGAAACTGTGGACCCCAGATTAGTTTACTCGTGGGACAGCATAGATTTAATTAAGTCTTGATTAGGATTAGCTTTCCTAGTAGGATTAGTTTCAATCTTATCTTACCTTATCTTATCTCATCTTGCCATGTAAACATTTAGTCCTATTACAATTATGAAAGCATGTATATAAATTCAAAGGGTGGGGTGGCTGTTTAACACAACCAACCACTCTCTTCTCCTAAAACCCTTCCACGAGTTCTCCATCTCTCTTCTTCTCTTCTAATTTTCTTTTATTTTCTGTTCAAATTTGTAGACTTGTACGACTACTTGGTATCAAAGCTTGGATTAGGGATTCTCATGTGAGTTTGATCCAGCCGACCACATGAGAGTTGCCTAGGGATGGAAGAATAGAGAAAGCTCTCTTCGGCTGATTCTTGGAGGTTATCTACAGCAGCAGTCCAAAGATTGGATCGTATCTTTGATAACCAGGAAGAATCAGAGGAAGAGAACAGGATCAAGATCAATAGAGGTGGCGATCAGAATTTCAAAGGATCTCTGTTCAATCAGTACTAGAGGTTGTGATCAGAATTTCAGAGGATTTCTGTTCAAGATCAGAATTTCCCCTTCAAGATTAGAGGATCAAGATCAGTTCTTGTCAAGACTAGAGGTGGCAATCAGAATTTCAGAAGATTTCTGGTTCAAGATCAGTTTTTTTTCTCTTCAAGACTGAGAGAGACGATCAAAACTCCAGAAGTTTTCATCAAGATCAGAGCTTTTCAGAATTTTCTGGTAAGTTTTTCAATCTTTCTTAAGATCGGCAGCAAGAATACCTTGATATAAGAGGTACGAAAAAAACTCTAGAAGATTTCTGTTAGGCCTTTTTAGGGTTTAAGAGAAAACCCTCAAGTTTCAGGGCTGTTATTGCTTCAGGACTTGTCTCCTTCGATTTGTTTGCTCTCTGGAAGATCCAGTAGAGCTGTTTCAGCAGGACTGTTACAACAGAACTGTAACAGTTTTTTTACTGCTATCAGTCTCAATAGGCTGACTATCACAGAAATTATGGCTTCTTTTACTACTATTACCTGCTGCAGACCTAGTAGGCTGACTGGTACAGTTACAACTGTAAAGTTTGATGGTTCAAACTACTTAGAGTGGGCCCAATCAGCCATGATGGTCATTGGGGGAAGAGGAAAGCTGAACTACTTGTTGGGGGATGTGAAGGAACCAACTAAGGAGGATCCCACTTATGCTAGGTGGATTCAGGAAAATTATTTGGTGATGACATGGCTGCGCAACTCCATGCAACCATACATTAGTCGAAATTACTTATGGGCAAAAACAACTAAAGAAATATGGGATGTTGTGAAAGAAACCTACTCTCAGCCCCTTAATGTTGCTAGGGCTTATGAGCTGAAATGGGAAGTTAGAAATCTCAAACAATGAGAGAAACAGGTCTCTGTTTATTTTTCAACCCTAAAATCTCTGTGGCATGAAATTGACCATCTTGAGACAATAGAATGGGAAAGTCAGAGAGATGCACAGACTTACAGAAGACAAGTCGAAACTAACAAAGTATTTGAGTTCCTAGCTGGTTTAAATTTTGAGTATGATATTATAAGACAGCAGCTGTTGACAAGAGAGGGTGTGACTCTGTCTCAAGCCTATTCCCAAGTGCACAGTGAGGAGACTAGGAGAAAGGTTATGTTGCAGCAGCAACCTTTCGAATCTGCCCTGGCAGCAGTTAAACCCAAGTCTGGGGGAGATAAGGAAAGGAATATGAAGAAAGAGGCTAAGAAGGACCTAGTGTGTGAACATTGCAAGAAACCTACACACACTAAAGACACTTGTTGGAAGTTGCATCCACATATAGTTCCAGCAAAACTCAGAAACAAAAAGGGGAATGCTAATATGGCTGTTAACACTAATAGTGCAGCCTCAACAGCCTCAAGAGGCACTCCTCTAGACACCCTAGCTGTTGTCCGAGCTACTCTGAAACAGTTGGAAAGTGAAGTTAGTAACTCAATATCATCTCCCCAGCCACCATTAGCTCCTTCAACCTCATATTTTGCTCAATCAAGTAATCGGGCCTCAGCTTATCATGCTTCAGCTTCAAGTAATACAGAACATTCTTAGATAATAGATTCAAGAGCATCTGACCATATGACTGGCTTGCCATCACTTTTTTCTACCTATCATTTGTCTTCTGGCAAAGACAAACTGTCCATTGCTGATGGATCCCTTGTCCCTATTTCTGGCAAAGGAGACGTCAAGTTGTCTAATGCCATTTCCCTATCCTCCGTCTTGCATGTTCCTAAGCTTAATACTAACTTGCTTTCAGTTAGTAGCATTACAAAAAAGCAGAACTGCTCAATAACCTTTTTTCTTGATCGATGTGTTTTTCAGGATCTGGAGACAATGAAGGTGATTGGGACTGGCCGTGAGATGAATGGAATCTACCTACTTGGAGGAAGTGCTCATTAGGAAGATAGTGAAACTAAGAAATCCTTCGTTTCTCAGTCTATTGATCAGGTGATGCTTTGGCATAATAGGATGGGTCATTTATCCTTTCAGGCCTTGAAAAGTTTGTTTCCTAGTTTATTTGAATCTGTCCAAATGTCTAGTTTGAAATGTGAGAGTTGTGAGCTTGCAAAACATTGTAGGACAACCTATTCATTAAGTAATAACAGAAGTAATATTCCTTTTGAAATTGTGCATACTGATGTTTGGGGACCCTATCATACCACTGCCATGGGGGKGGGGGGGGGGTACAGATATTTTCTATTATTTATTGATGATTATACTCGGTTTTCCAAGGTTTACCTTATGCGTTCTCGAGATGAGGTCCCAGCATTAACCCAGATCTTTAATAAAATGATTTTAACCCAATTTGGGGTCAAAATTAAAATTTTTAGATCCGATAATGCAAAAGAATATTTTGCAAACCCATTAGCCTCCTACTTGCTTGACCATGGGATTATCCATCAGAGTATCTACCCACATACATCACGGCAGAATGGGGTTGCTGAAAGAAAGAATAGATACATATTGGAGGTAGCCAGAGGCATTATATTTACCTCAAATGTGCCTATACGTTACTGGGGGGATGTTGTTCTTACAATAGTATATCTCATCAATCAGATTCCCTCACGGGATCTTGACATGAAATCTCCATTTACCCTTCTATACCTTGATAAAGAATTGTTCACCATTCCACTTAAAACCTTTGGTTGCACTTGCTTCGTTCAGATCCTTGGTCCTCATCGTTCCAAATTTGATCCTAAGGCCTCCAAATGTATTTTCCTTGGTTATGCACAAACTCAAAAGGGATATTGTTGTTATGAACCCACTTCTGGAAAAAGATTTGTTTCAATGGATATCACTTTTTTTGAGAATAAACCCTATTATCCACAGGTTTCTCCTCAGGGGGAGAATAGTGAGGCTGGGATTAGCACATTAGAAGTTCCTTTACCAATCCCATTAAGTGAAGAAGGGTGTAATGACGAAAGTTGTCAAAGGTGCAGAGAAATGAGAGTCTATCACAGACAATGGAGAAGGTTGATTTCGGACATCAACAGTCCGAGCCAGTCCCAGCCCCCTTTGCAGATCTAGATCCTGATACCACAGTAGCCCCAGTTCTTTCTGCAGATCCAAATCTAGGTACCACAAATACTATAGATGAAAGACATCCTGCCATGGAG